CTATGAAACTGCTGCTTCACCTTCTCGAGATCCCCCTCCTCCTTCACCTACTCCTCACTCTACGCAGCCATGCCCGCAACCCTGCCCGCCCTCATCAACCTCCGATAACCCACTACCTCCTAATTCTTGCCTCACATGTCGACACACCTTTGCCAACTCAAGATCGCTGGCCCGTCACCTTCCAGCCTGCTCTCGCAACACCGCCACACGTCAGCAAGCTGCTCGGCCTCCTCCCCCCCGCTCATCAGCCCCAACCTCGGCGCCTGCAGCCGTAGATCGACCTGCAATTCCTCAAGCCACTTGGGAGGCCGTTCCTTCCTGGGATTGGCCTTCCTTCTTCAGCCCAGCAGTTTCACCTGGCCCTATTCTCCGCCGAATCCCCTCCCGCATCCGACTCCTCATTCTCGATGCACTTCTCATTCCACTGCGCCGCCTTGCACAGCATCCTTCTGACGTCGCTGCACACCTCATTCTCTTGGCATTTCCGCGTCTCCTGCTGCGCCTACCATCTGCCGCTGCTCTCACACAGCCCCTTACCTCTTCATGTGCTGCCTTAGCGCGTCGCTTCATCACTGGTGACTGGCACTCTCTTTTCAGCGAAGCCGTAGCTGCAGCCACTCCAGCCGCTAGACCTCTGCACATGGCTTCAGCACGTTCTACAGCGCAGCAGGCGCGTCTCAACCGTGCGAAGCGGTTTGCGAAATGCGGGGATTGGTCGCGGTCACTGGCAGCACTGGAAGCTGGCGAGCTAGCTCCCCCATCATCAGAAACAGTTGTTGCCCTCAGCTCCAAGCACCCACCTGCTGCAGCAGAGATTCCTGACTGGGTACACAGCTTCACTCCTGCAGCCGCACCACAGCTCACCGTCCCTGTTCTCCATGCCGCTCTACAGTCCGCCCCCCGTGGCACAGCTGCTGGACCTTCTGGGTGGTTCATTGAGCACCTCAGGGACACGTTTCTTTCTCACCAGCAGCATCTCCCTTCTCTCCTCCACGTATTCCAGAACTGGCTGCAGGGTGACCTTCCACCTGCAGTCAGGCCTTTCTACACCGCTTCGAACCTCGTGGCCCTGCAGAAACCGCATGGTGGTGTACGTCCCATCGCCATTGGGGAAGTGTTACCACGCCTCCTTTCACGCTGCATCACTCTCCCTTTTAAGCAGCAGATGCGAGAGACATTCCTTCCTCACCTTCAATTTGGCGTAGCAGTTCTGGCCGGGATCGAGATTATGTCGCACGCAGTGTGCTCCGCCTTCTCCCTTCATCCAGACTGGGTGGTGCTTCAGCTGGACGTTGCAAACGCGTTCAACTCGTTCAACCGGGTTTCCATGTTTGAGGCATTAAGGCGCTCCCCATTCTCCAGTCTCATTCCCTTCTTCCGCCTATTCTACTCCACCCCTTCACCTCTCCACTACCGCAGCGGCCCCCTTCTCCATACATTCCAGTCAGCTTCTGGTGTTCGTCAAGGCGACCCTTGTGGCCCTTTCCTTTATGCCCTAACACAGCAGCTAGCCATCCAACCAACCCAGCAGCAGTCTCCCTCAATTTTCATTACCTCATACGCAGACGATACCTACTTGGTCGGCCCTCCCTCAGACGTCTTTGCCGCATACACTGACCTTACCTCCCGCCTTCTCTCTCTCGGCCTTACAGTCCAACTCTCTAAGTGCTCTTTATGGGCCCCTATGGACCTGCCTGAACACTGCATTCCGCCCCCGGGTATTTCCATCGCTGCAAACGGTCTCACTGTCGCCGGCGTTCCTACTGGCTCCGACGGTTACATCATCTCTACAGTTCGTGACAAACTCGATTCTTTCACTACCTCCCTCCCTTTACTGCATCAACTGCAGGACCCACAGATTGCCTCACGGATCCTTTCCTTATGCATCACTGCCCGACCTTCTTTCCTCCTCCGAACTGTCGCACCTGTTCCCGAAATCCAAGAGCTACTCTCTTCATGGGACAGCACCATTTTCAGCCACTTCTCTCAGCTCCTGGGCTCTGAGTACTGGAATCCCACCTCTGAACAGTCCACATCGGCCCGCCTCCAAGCCTCGCTCCCTATCCGCTTAGGTGGCTTCGGCATTCGCAGCTCTGCATCCATCGCCCCCCTCAGTTACCTCTGTAGCTGGGCGCAGACAGTTTCGACCTTATCCACCCACTTCATCACTGATGGTGCTCCTCTTTTCCGCCCTTACGTCTCCACGGACTCCATTAACCTCCTCGACCCTTCAATCTCATCCACCATGACCATGCTTCCCCAAGACATTCGTGATCGCTTCCCATCATGGCCTGTGCTTCAATCGGGCTACCCTCCTAAACTCTTTACTCATCTCTCCCAACACCTCGAAGCCGATTTGCTGGAGAAGGTTCGAGCCACAGTAACGTCCCCGCTTCGCCTTGCTCGTCTAACCTCTTTGCAGGGCCCGCATGCAGGTGACTGGCTCACTGTGGCTCCATCCTCCCCGCACATGCAGCTTTCAGAGACTGAATGGCGCATTGCAGCAGCTATCCGCTTAGGCCTTCCTCTCCCTCACCTTTCATCTTCGCTCACCTGCACCTGCAACTCCCCGTTCACCGATCCTTCCATCCATTCTCATGTCCTTCGCTGCCCTAGCAACAACGAGCCTACTAAGGTGCACGACGCAATCAAACGAGGAGTTCATCGCATTGTCTTGGAGCTTGGGTTCTCTGCGCAGATGGAAGACCAGCATCTCCTGCCTGGCCGCCGCACAGACATCACGTGCCGCGACATTAGCTCTGGTACCACCCTACGTTGGCAGATACGCCCTTGGGGGGTGGGCGTATTGCGTATATACGCTAGCGTATGTACGCAATACGCTAATACGCCTGGAAATCCTAAAATACGCCGGGGCAGCCCCGTAAAAAAAAAAAAAAAAAAACTCCATTTAAAATTGCAAGAATTTGCGACAGCGAGAATTGAACCCTCGACCTCGCACAGAGCCCAACTCCTGTCTGCAATTCGAAATTCAAAATTCAACCCCTCCCACATCCCCAACCACACACCACCCCTCTCAACCTCCCAAACCCAACCTCCCCCCTTTCACTCGTTCGAACATCTCAATCCCTAAACAGCTCCTCTTTCATTCAATCCCGCATTTCTCATCTTGCATTTCGTCCGACTCTCGTCGAGCTCAAACTCTCCTAGCTTTAGTACTTCCTCGCCATGGCGACCCCTACTCCCTACAGTTCGAGGGCGAAATCTGCCCGGGAAAAAAAATTTTCCTGCCCGCCCAGCGTATTTTAGCTTATCAGCAGTACGCCAGCCATGGCGTATGGCGTATATACCCAGCGTATAATACGCTAGCGTATTATCCGTGATACGCGTATCTGCCAATGTAGGTACCACCTGGGCCTTGGATGTTTCTGTTGCTGATCCACAAAAGGGGTTTCCGCACTCCAACGCAGCTACGGTGATTGGTTCAGCAGCAGCCACTCGTGAAAGTGAGAAGACCACCCACTATGCTGCAGCACTTCGTGACCGTCCAGACATCAAACTGCCTTTGGTTGCTTCGGCTCTTCGTTCAACAACTTCCTTCGCCAATGCAGCCGCAAAGGGGCGTCACAACTCCGCGACTTGAGTGGTGCCACAGATTCTCTTCCCCTGCTGTTTGAGACCAACTTCTACAAACGGATTTCTCTGGTCCATCAACGTGAGCAGGCTCGCACTGTTTGTCGTCGTGCACAAATTCGTTTTACCGAGGGCGTCAACCACGCACCACCCGAGGTGACTTCTCTTTCTGCAGCTGACTTTGCCTACTTGGGAGAGGACCATTGAGACATCACAGAGGCCTATTTGTAGGCCTCACGATAGGATTAGCCTGCATGTCTTTCCTTACACTAGGTCTCTGGATTTGCCTTGTATCCATTGTACATTTACTATAGAGTCAATAAAGAGGTACAATTGCACCCTGCCAACAGCACGGTGCAGACCTGGGTTCGATTCCCGGCTGGCACACAGCGGTCTTTGCCAGTTGCTGCGAACTGGACCGCTTGATAGCAGTCCCCCTGTGCATTGGCTTCAACCCTCACTACAATGGTTGGTGTTAAATAGCTTTGGCAGGTCACTGCCTGCCCTGCCCCTGCATGTGCCCACCTCCCGTGGTTGCATGAGGCACAAGCTACGAATCAAGAGCTAGGTAGGAGAAAGGAGACTCACATTCGTGCATCTTCATGTTCCTCCCTCTTGAAGGGCCTCAACAATTGAACCGAAGAGCTAGGAGACCCGCACTTGTGCACTTTCATGTTCCTCGACTCTCTCCACCTACTCCTAACCTCACTGCCCAACCCTCCCCACCTCTTTCACCACAGCATGGCTGGGCGTTACAGCCTGCAGCTCCCTTCTCCCGCCCTTGCCCATGCTCGTTCCGCCCTTGCCCATACTCGTTCCGCCCTTGCCCATGCTCGTTCCGCCCTCCCTTCCCTGCATCATCCCACCCCTCCCATCAACCCACACCTTTGCAGCTCTCCCGCCCATCATGGCAGGGCGCCACAGCATGCACCTCCCCCCTCCTCGCTTTCCCTCCCTCATTGCATCCCTCATCGTTTCTTCCTCCTTCCCTGCCCTCCATTCCCCTACGCAAAAACCCATACCTCCAGCGCATCATAGCGGGGCGCTATGGTGTGCACTGCAGCTTGCACCTCCCTCCCCTCGCCTTACCTCGCTTTCCCGCTGTCATTGCTTTCCTCGTTGTTGCTGTCAACACCGTTCGGTGGCTGGGGGCAAATTTGCCTCACGCAATCTCCAACACATTGAAGGAGAAAGTGAAGGAGAAAGAGAAGGAGAAGATGACGCAGAAGAATGGCGGAAGTAGCAGGCGCTGAGGCAGGCGGCAAGCCAAGCGGAGAAACCGCCAAGTGGCGCTAGCGGCGTTGGTGGTAGCAGTGGCAGTGGTGGGAAGGGCGGCGAAGGGGTGGTGAAGGGTGGAGTGCTGATGGGGCTGGTGGAGGCCATCCAGAAAGCGCCTGGCGTTACTAATGATGGAGGGTGCGGTTGAAAAGCTGGGTTCTTGCCAAGGTGAGAGTCGGTGAGAGGTGGGCATGTGTGTGAGTGGTGAGGGGTGGATATGTGTGTGAGATTCGGTGGAGGGTGGGTATGTGCATGCGAGTTGGTGAGGGGGCGGGTTTGTGTGTGAGAGTGGGGTGAAGGGGGGTGAAGGTGGGGTGAAGGCGGGTGAAGGTGGGGAGGAGGGGAGGGAAGGTGGGTTGAAGGGGGGTGAAGGGGGAGTGGAGGGGAGTGAAGCGGGGGAGGAGGGGAGTGCTGCTGGGGCGGGCGGAGGCCAGAAGGGATGCGTGGGGTGCTAGCGAGGGGTGGCAGGGGGCCGGGGGCGGTTGACAAGCTGGATGTCGCCAAGGTGAGAGCCAGTGTGGAGCGGGGGAGATGCGGGCGAGAGTCGGTGCAGGGCTGAGAGGCGGGTGAGATGCGGGGGAGATGCGGGAGGGATGCGGGTGGAAATTTCTCGAGTCACTCGCCAGCGATAAGTGAAGGGGGAACTTGAAGAGCTGGGTGTGACCAAGGTGGGAGTAGCTCAGAGTCGGTGAGGAGTTGGTGAGAATGGCTGGGGGGTGGGCAGGGAGGTGAGGGGCTTGAGGGTTGCCAGGTGAGTTGAGAAGGTGGGTGCAGCCAAGATGAGACTCCTTCCGCCACCTTCCCCCTCCATTACCTTCCCCACCCTCCCAAAATCGAATTTCTTCTTTCCATCCAGCCTCCTTTCACATCCCCCCCCCCTCCCCCCCCCCTTCCCCGTCCCCTTCCCCTTCCATCCAGCCTCCATTCAATTTCCTTTCAAACGCCCATTACTCTCTTCCCTCCCCCCTCCACCCCTCCTTCCACCAGCTCCTGCTACTCCCACACCAACTTCTGCTCCACAGACTCCGTGCACCGTCTCCCTCATCCCTCTCATAAACCACTGCGCTCTTTACCCATTCCCCCCTCTCCCCTTCCATCACACACCCCCCCACCCCACCTCCCCCCACAGCTCCGCACCTGCTTCTCTCCCACACCAACTTCTGCTCCACCGGATGCCGCCCCCAAACCCAAGCACCTCCTTGTACAAGCATCTCCTTGTACAAGCACCTCCTTGTACAAGCACCTCCTTGTACAAGCATCTCCTTGTACAAGCATCTCCTTGTACAAGCATCTCCTTGTACGAGCACCTCCTTTTACAAGCAGCGGTACAAGAAGGTGCGTTGTGAGTGAGTGATGGATATTGGCGGGCTTGATGCTCATGAGTGACTCGTGGGTGGGTTAGGCGAGACTGGTTGGGTAAGGCACTGCTGGGTATCCTGTGGCTGGCGATGTTCATTCGCAGGGACGAGTAGAGGAGGTCGGTGTGTGGTGAGAGGGACGGGGGTTAACTTGTGGGTCACCAGCAGGTCACGAGTAGCGAGGCTGTTGGTGCCGGCACTTGTCTTCTTGAAGGATGGGCAACGGCAGAAGGAGGTGAATGCTGAGGGACGTGGGCTGCTTATGGGTCAGTTTCAGGTCCGTGGCAGGTCACCCTCAGGTCACTCTCAGGTCACTCTCAGGTCACTCTCCAGCCAGTGCCGTCCATCACTTGCCGCCTATCCTTCATCCAACTCTCCGTTCTCTCCGTTCTCTCCCTTTGGCCACCCTTCCCCTTCCCCTTCCTCTCTCCCATCCTCATCCCCATCAGGTGTGGATACTGCATTCATTAGCGTCTGAAAGAACAGGACGAAGGAAAAAATCTGTTACTTCTAAAACGGGTAAACATACCCAACCTGCGGCCCGCCCTCAGGTCACCTACTGAAATGCGTGCCATCTAGCTTTCTTGCCAAGCCGCCACCATTGCTGCTGCCGCCATCTCCTCCACCCACGCCCACATTCCCGCTAGCCGCGCTCATACCCACACCCACACCCTTGCCCATACCCTGTGCACACACACACGCCGATCCTGGGAGAGGGTCAGGCGGGAGGAGGCAAGGAACGAGGGCCGGGGCACGAATAAGAGAGGGGGGGATGTAGGAAAGGGAAAGGTGGAGTTGGGAAAGAAGGGGTAGAGGAGGCGATGACTGGTGACTGGGTGACGGTGTGCTAGGCAGCAAAGCTGTGTCAATGGTGCGGATGGTGGAGTGTGTGGAGTATAGAGGGAGAGAGTCGGATGAGGAGTCCTACCCCATGTGCCTTGCACCTCACACTACCACTGCAGGCTCTGCAGTTCCTCTTGCTGCTACTCTCGCTGCTCCTGCTCCTGATGCACGCAGCAGTGGGGGCAGCAGAGGCGCTGATGCGTTAGTGCTACCCATCCCCATGGTGGTGGTGACCGTGATTCTTCTGCCCGTCTCTGCTTCTGTTAAAATCTCGCTGCCTTCTCTCAGCCCTCCTGGAGTACTTATTCCAGGTAAAGTGGACTCGCATTGCGTGCATACCTTCTTATTTGTACCAGACAACGCCTGTTTCACTTTCATGTGTTTCCTTTGTGCCCGTTCTCTTCCCAATCACCTCTGTACCTCTTCTCTCCCTTTCCCCTCACTTCCATGACAAGTCAGTGCGCGCATGCACCCACTGCCACCTCTCTGCACCGTGCAGCATCTCCCGGACCATCCTGCACCTGCCTCGCATCCTCGTGCGTATGGATGAGGCAGTTGGCGCTTGGCCACTGTGAGTTGATTGAGACAAGTAAGAGCTCACAAAGAGACAGGCTGCAGCCCACAAAGAGCCCCTCCAGCCTCCTCTCGTTCTCCGTCGTCCTCCCTTCCGCCTGCTACTGGGTCCTTGTCTCTCAATAGGCTGCAAACTAGGCAGGTGATACACAAGGTGTGGGGGGGGAAGGGGGGGGGGAGGGAGGGGGAGGGAGGGGTTAAGTGCGGTGGTACCTAGGGAGGGGGGATTTCAGAGGGATATTGAGTGGGCTCAAGGGAGGGGTCAGGCTGCTGAGGTGTGTGAGGGAGTTGAGCAGGGATGGTGGGAGAATGGAGGGCAAAAAGGTGAGGAGAGAGAGGGGTTGAATAGAGGAAGGTGAGAGAGAGTGCAGAGGGGGAGATGGTTGAGACGAGAAAGGTGGAGAGAGAGGGGAAGGAGCAAGAGGAAGAGGGGCGGAAAGGCAAGAATGCCAAGAATGCCAGGCGCAGGGAGTGTGGGTAGGAGACGGATTGGGTGGAGCTACTGGAAGGAGCAGCGGGTGTGGTGTTGACGGGGCATTGAATGCTGGTACGAGTGCATGAAGAGCACGAAACGAGTGGATGTCGCTGCCTCACTGAATGTGGGCGAGTGATGCCACTTTGGAATCATTCTGCCTAACTGTTTATTACCTGAATCAGCCTTTCCAGCCATTATCACTATCTTGAGCATTGTGACTTGTGCATTGACTTGTCTCGTCACTTCTTTCTTCTGCTTCTGCTTTGCTAATTATCACATCACGTTTTTTTGTGCAACGCGATGCAATGCAAGGAATCATCCCTCAAGGCAAAGAGGTGAGTTGGGGATGTGAGAGAGGGATGCAAGAGACTATCACGGCATAGCTGGACTCAGCTGGATGAGGGTGCTGTGATTTGTAACTTGAGCTGCTCCCTTGCATTTCTTGTTGGCAGTAAATTTGTGTCCGTACGGTACCGTACCGTATACTCCCGGACAAAACACCCCCCCATAATTGTACACCCCCGGGTAGCTTGTGCGGGGTGGGTGTTATGATAGACCTCGTTTCTACTATACCCCCCTTTTTGGCTGATTTTCTATAACACCCCCCTTTTCTTACGGATTCATTATTATAGTCGTTAACGAGTAGCTGCAATACGGAAGAATATCGTGTGAATTTCTCCCTCAATGAAATTTCGCGGTACATTCAAAGGCAATCTGCCGAGATTTGCCCCCTCCCACTATTTCTCTGTTGCCACGTGCAGGTGAATCTTCCGTTGCAAGTGGCAAGAGAGGTGCCACATGGCATTTTCGTGAGGGCGATGAAGTTCGAGGCCGAAACTCACATTCGCGCCTCAGGCAGTGATACTAAAAGGACCAGCAAAACACCCACATTGACTAATTAAAAAAACACTAACACCATATGTAAAGACCCGGGTATTATGTATTTTTTTCCTATGAGGAGACCCCCCCCATTTTTTCCCTGTATTTTTAGCTATACCCTAGGGTGTTATGTCCGGGAGAATACGGTATGTCTATCATTGGAACAGAGAATATTCTCCACTTGACCCCTCGCCTACACTGCGCTACGCTATCCTTCTGTCAAACTTATATGCTATAGTCTGTGTAGGCTGTAGTGGGGTTGACAATATAGGGTACAACACTTTTAGGTTTTCTTACTTGTACCCACCTGTTTCCTAGTGCATTCATTCCTCGTTCTTTCACATGGTATAGAGCAGGTTCCCTAGTGGGAACGTTTCCTAGGGCCCACCGAAAATCGATATATTTTTTTTCCTGCCCGTAGTGCGCTTCGCCCCTGCCCGAGTCGCGCCCCGTGTGCCTGCCCTCCCGTTGCGTCCCCTGCCCTTAGCGGCCCGTCGCGCTCCCTTACGGCCCCGTAGCGGCCCCTCTCACGGCCCCTCACGGCCCCTCTCACGGCCCTCCGCGGCCCCTTCAGGCCCCTCGCGGCCCCTTCGTGGCCCCTCGCGGCCCCTTCGCAGCCCCGTCGCCGCCCTTCGCGGCCCCGTCGCCGCCCTTCGCGGCCCCGTCGCCGCCCTTCGCGGCCCCGTCGCCGCCCTTCGAGGCCCCTCGCGGCCCCTTCTCGGCCCCGTCGCCGCCCTTCGCGGCCCCGTCGCCGCCCGTCTCGGCCCCGTCGCCGCCCTTCGCGGCCCCGTCGCCGCCCTTCACGGCCCCGTCGCCGCCCTTCTTGGCCCCGTCGCCACCCTTCGCGGCCCCTCGCGGTCCCGTCTCGGCCCCGTCGCCGCCCTTCGCGGCCCCCTTCACGGTCCTTCGTGGCCCCTTCGCCGCCCTTACCGGCCCCTTCTCGGCTCCTCCGCGAACAGCAGCGGCCGCCGCCAGCAGCAGCCGCCGCCGCCGACAGCAGTAGCCGACAGCACCAGAAGCCGCCGACAGCAGCGGCGGCCGCCGACAGCAGCAGCCGTCGCCGCCGACAGCCGCAGCCGCCACCGCCGCTGCCGGGGCCGCTACTGCCGCCGCCGGTGACAGCAGGAGCCGCCGCCGCGGTCGCGGCCCTGTCCCTGCCGACGCGCCTCGGCCCTGCCCCACCACTTGCGGGCCCCTACCCACCCGCCCTGGTAAGAGCACCGCCGAGCCGCGCCTACTGCTACTGCTACTAGCCTGCTGCTGCTGCTGTCATGGCTACCCCTAGCGTTCTCACCTTTGATGCTGAGGGTCGGGCTGTCCACTTTGATGTCTGGGTCGATGATCTGCAGCTTTTCCTGCAGTGCGATAGGAAAGACGGTCTCTCACTGTTCGATCTCACGTCTGGCGCCTCTCCTGCCCCTACTGCCGATGCTGACAGCACTGTTCGCTCCCAGTGGGCCACACGCGATGATGCTGCCCGTCTTGCTGTGCGTAGTCACTTGCCGTCCTCTGAGCGCGCGCACTTTAGTCAGTACAAGAGTGCTAAGACCTTGTACGACGCTGTAGTTGCACGCTACTCTTCCCCTGCCACTGCTGCCCTTAGCCGCCTCATGCTGCCATACCTGTTCCCTGACCTCGCCGCCTTTCCCACAGTCGCTGACCTCATTACTCACCTTCGCACTAGTGACACCCGCTACCGCGCTGCGCTTCCTGCTGAGTTCAGCGCCAAGAACCCCCCCCCCATGTACATCACCCTCTACTACATAGTCACCCGGCTCCCTGACTCCCTTCGCTCGGTCAGGGACCACTTCCTCTCTGTTTGCCCCACCACACTCACCGTTGACCTCCTCGAGGAGCGCCTCCTGGCAGCTGAGAAGAGTATAGTCGCTGTAGGAGCCTCTCGTGGTGACCCTCGTACCCCCTTCTTT